ATCACAATTTTGAGCGTGCTAGAAACAAAAATTATTGTACAAGCATTTTATTTGTAAAATAAATGAAATATGTCATAAATAGATATAATGGCATCAACACTCAAGGCTGACATTTTGGTGACTGGATAACTAATTGAAATCGGAGGGGTGACTGGAAGATTAGTAATTAAAGTGTGACAAGTACAAATTTGTTTATTAGAGTGTAATCAGTACAAATTTTTGTTTTTATTTTTTTTGAATGTGTTAAATTCTAAGCATGTTTTGAGCACATTGTTAAATTGTTCATATTCAGTTATTTCTTAATGGGTTGTAGGAGGAGGTAAATTAATTAATTTGAACATGCAGAGACCATAGTTACTAACTGTGGAGTGACTATTAATTAATTAAGGGTGAAAATTGTGACAAAGACTCATTTTGCATACTCAAATTTGAAGGGAAAAAAATTGTAGAGCTATTCAAACACATTAATCATCATCAATAAAGCAAAGATTTATTATTAATATCTTCAACGAAATATATATGCGCAGACAAATGGACAAAATTCAAGATATGGTTCCTTTGAGTCTCAATGATCAACTCCAAGAAACAAATCTGTACATTTCCTTATATTGTGATTTTAGGATTTTAGACAAAACGGGTATCAAATCAACAAATTTGAATAAATTACAAAATAACTTAATTGTGCAAACTTTTACTAAATGAAACGATATAATTAATGGTGAGAGAGACACACACAGGTTTTCAGACTTTGAACAGACCTTCCCTCCTCATTTTTTAAATTTTATTTTCTGCACTTGAAGTGCCTGTGAAATGCCCACACGTTTCGAGGAAATTCATACTGTGCCCCATTCTGAGTTCAAGCTTTTTAAAAATGTAAAATCATAGACTCATAGAAGGCAACAATCATTTTCAAGGCTGTTTATCAACACAATCGGGAAATACAGTTACCGGTATATAACATTTCTGGGAAATAAGTATGAAGCTATTGGAAACAAATAAATTGAAGTATTAGTTGTCTGAGATTAAAGTAATCGACTAGCAATAATTATGCAACGCCAAAATTGCTCGTTTCCAAAGGGGTAACATGCTTACACACCCTACGGTACTACGGCTTTTCAACGGCTAATTCTAGGGTCATGAAAGCATGAAAACAAACATTGGGAGTGGCTGAATTTTTAGAACAAAAACAGAAATTATATCAGGTCATTATCTGGGATATGATTTGAGTGGTTAAATAATAAAAACGAGAAAGAGACGACGATTTTGAGACAAAAAGGTGTCGACGACCGTTACATGCACCACACAGTAAGAGTTAATTGTAGTGTTTTGTAAACAGTGTCTTGGTTCATTCTCGCTGCCTGACTGGGGAAAAATACACACTCGGCCAATCATTCTGTCATGGTACGGTTTATCTTATTTAGAATTTGGTGACCCTGATACAATTCTGTTTTTGTTTCACAATAGTTTGAACGTCATTAAATTCATGGTGCTAAAAATGTGTTTGCAGATTACAGAATAGTTTTTCTCGTCAAAAGGTATTTGGCCAATCAAAAACCAGTTTGACCCCAAAGACGCAGAATAATTTTCAGACATTTTGAAAAAACAAAAACTTTCCTAAATTAATTTGCCAAACTAAAACATGCCAACTTTCTTTAAAATAGCACAATTCAACAAACAAAAAAATACAGTTATTTTTTCCTTTGTAGACAAGCATTCAACTATTTGCAGTCTCGGTTTGACAGACAGTTTGATCAAACAAACCAACATCAATAACTGACAAAGCAATTAAATTTACTATCTTGAGAATTTTAATTTTGCTTGTTTTGTTGGGTTGCACTCATCGCGTGGCTATGAGTATGAATCCGTGCGAATTACAGTTGTGTGTATGAAGCTATGAGCACGTCTGTTTTTGTAAAATACTACAGTTCATGAAGTTGGATTTTGTTGGCATCAGAACTTCATAAAATCCCATGATGAAATACAAAAGAAGTGGCCCTTGGAATGAGTACAATGAAGTGAAACATTGTTTCAACTACGTAATGGTAGACCTAGATTGCGTCATATATAACAACATTGCATTGCTTTTCGATGGCGCGGAATGACAGCCCAACTAGTGGGCAATTTCGATAAAAAACGACTGTCAAATTAATAGATCAAGAATGGAAACATTGTTTAAACTTTGTTACAATTGACATAGATTGCGTCCTTGAATACAAAAATAGTTTGTACGCAAATGAAGAGAGCAGATTGATTTGTTTGTTTCCAATAGTTTTGTACTTTTCGATGCCCCTACAAATGTTATAACAGTATTTCACATAAAACCATCCCGATTGCGTTGATAAACAGTATACGCGCACCCTTGTACGTGTATAGCTTTCTAATTAGACACTAATCGTTACTCGTCCCTCACGTAGCGTTACCATCAGTATCTTGAAGTATGAAATTCATTGACACACAAAGGCGATCTCACCTCAACATTACAATTATAATGTCCAAATACTTTTTAATTGAATTACAAACTAAACTGGTACATAGCTACATCAGACCATTATTAGTAACTGTCTAGGGAGTAACTGACCTCAGTTACACGTTTTACGGCTTCTATCCGTCTTAACGTAGATAAAAACGATTTTGGGGCCATCTCC